AATGGACTTCAGGCACCAGCCCCAAATCAGCTCCCTACCTGAGAATCAGAATCTGCACCTATTTGCCAGGAAATACCTGAATGACCTTGAGAAATTTCTTAACTATCTTCTGCAAGTTGCGGCGTGTGACAATAGCGCGGCCTGGTCCGTTGCCCAGGTTGCAGGTAGAGTAGGCCGTCAAAGGCGCAGCGGATCCATCAGGACAGAGCAGCTCGTACTCTTCCCGTTCCAACTCTTTGGAAGAGGAAAAAGAGAGCTTCACAAGCTGAAAGCAGAGCCCACAGAGCAGAAGACCCCCCCCTGCCCATCTCCGCCTCACCACAGGACAGAAGGACTGCAGCTTACTCAGCTATTAAGAGGGCAAAACAACAGGCCTGGTCCTGGGTGCAAGGAGGAGAAAGACAATGAGTTCTGGGGTCCTTTCCTGACCAGTCTTCTTATCAAGAGTGATAAGAAGGGAGATTTAGGTTGAAGATGAAAGATCAACGTATTACCATGAAGAGCACAGCTCTTGGAAGGAAGGATTAGCAAATGACTCACAAGGAGTAGAGAGGCAGTTGATCAAGGCATATCTTTCTGTTTTTCTCAATGGATTATGCTCAGACTATACATAAACCAAAATGCGCTATATCTTGCAAAGAAAACCAAATCAGGATAGGTTGCCACAACCTCTTGTCACTAATGCTGCGGGTCCTGTCAGCCCAATTAGTCCGGCCGGCAGGGTCCAGGAGGAGGGTCTTCTCTGCTGTGGCTCCTGCCCTCAGGAACAGGTGAGGTTGGCCCCAACCCTCCTATCATGTCATAAGGATCTAAAGACGTGGCTCTGCCAGTCAGCTTGGAGCCCCAGTGGGGGATCAGCACAATGGAGGTGGTTGATTGAGTAACAACAGATCCCACCTCCCTCCCCCCACGCCTCCCCAGTTGTGTCCTGGGTTTTAACATCTTTTTATGTTTTAACTGCATAGGTAACTGTAAGCCACCCAGAGTTACCCTTTGGTAAGATGGGTGGGCAATACATTTTATAAATAAATGTTATAAATAAATAAACAATGCAACAGAAGAGGATAAAGTTTGATCTCAACAGTGGAGGGTCCCTTTTAATCAACTGCAAAAGTCAGACAGTGTCCTGGGCCAAATGTTTACCTGTAGCACTCATGACTGTGAGGTGATCCACAAACGCCACATCCGCCAGCCCCAACGTCAGGCACCTGCACAGGTGAGAGGGAGGTCAGCTGACGAGCTCCTCCGCCTCGCTTCTAAGTCCATTAGGATGAAGCCCCAGGAGGAACACGAGACCACCTGAAGGCACCCTCCGAGCCGTAGAAGGGTTCGCGACGGCTAGCCTCGCAGAAGTGGTTCTTGTCCCAGATGTACGACTTCGGCCCTTGGCAGAGAGCGCAGAGCTTAGGATAGGTAGCTCCGATGCCAGGGATGCAGCTGGCATTGAAATAACCACTGATTGCTGGCAACAGAAGAAGAGCGGAATGAAAAGCAGATACGCATGAGGGGCACGTCTAGTACAGGGAGCGTATGTTTTCACGGAAGGCAGCCCGAACTACTGGGATCTGTGGACTTATTTCAACAAAGTGTACCTGAGGCTGCATCTTAAGGACCAGTCTACATAAACAATTTATCCAGAGTTGTCTGGCTTACTCATGAGGCACACAACACACTGTGGTGCAATCCATCTTCTCTAAATAGCCCATCTGTCAGGCTTCAGAACCCATTCTGAGTTACTTCAAAGCCGTTTCCTTTATTGTTCTTCACCTACAGACAGAAATTTTGCCAAATTAAAGCAAACTACTTGTATCATTTAAACTATACACAAGAATGGCCATTTTATTTGTTTTAATTGTTGCATAGTCTCTCATCTTCGTTAGCCATCCAGAATTATGTATGACTCTGCTGTAGAAACTGAAATTATGAATAAATGAAAAAATTATCTGAGCCCTAAGATGGAGCGTTCACTTTGTAAGGGCCTTCCAGTCCAAACAGGCCGATATCTAATGCAGAGGCCCCCAACCTTTTGGGCACCAGGGACCGGTTCCGTGGAGAAAGGTTTTTCTGCGGACCGGAGAGTGCGTGGTTTTGTGTGTTGCCTGCATCTCGCGGATGGGGCTTTGCTTGTTTGTGCAGACCAATTGCTGGCCTGCCGCAGCCCGGTACTGGTCCACGGACCAGGGGTTGGGGACTCCTGATCTAATGTACCAGCCAAAGAAAGGTAAAGGCAGGAGTCCCGGAGAACCCTCAAATCACAGACTTGCTGCTTTGGGGAGTGCAATCTTATCTAGACCTGAAGTTAGCACTGAAGTTGAACCAGATTGGTTATCTAGAACAGCATCTCCATTTTGTTGGGATTCAGTGTGAGGCTGTTTTATCCAATCTCAGCCTTCCAGATACCTAAAAAGGACCCCCACAGCCTCTCTGCCCGGGACAGCAGCACACAACATATATGGCTTCCTCACCTCAGATTGACAAGTGTTTCCTGTAAATGTAGAGCTAAGTCAATACAGGGAATCCCTGACTTACAACAGTTCATTTAGTGACCTTTTAAAGTTACAAAAGGCCTGAAAAAAGCGACCTATTTTTCACACTTACAACCGTTGCAGCACCTCCATGGTCATGTGATCAAAATTTGGCCACTTGGCAACCGGTTCATATTTATGATGGTGGCCGTGTCACGTGATCCTCCTTTTGCGACCTTCAGACAAGCAAAGTCTATGGGGAAGCCAGATTCACTTAACAACCCTGTTACTAACTTAACAACTACAGTGGTTCACTTAACAACCCTGGCAAGAAAGGTCATAAAATGGGACAAAAATACTTAATAACTGTTTTGCTTAGCAACATAAATTTGGGGCTCGATTGTGGCCGTAAGTAGAGGACTACCTGTAGCACCCCACACTGGAGAAGACATGTACTCCCCCATGAATATCAACTAGAACTACCCACCTAGGAGAAAGCAGAGCCACTCTATATTTCCCTTCCTTCTAGCCCTCGCAGGGGCCTAGCAAGAGAACAGAGTCAAACCTCACCAAGGGGTCTCGCAGGGCCAGGAGGGGGGCACCCCTCCAGGCTCTGAGGTAAGCCCCAGAATGGCCCAGGGGTGTCTCAGCCCTGAGCTAAGGCCGGAAATCTTACTAGAAGGGATCTAAATAATTCACTTTGGCAACTAATGCAACGTGATTTGTTTCTGAAATGTGAACCCAATCGCTGCGGTTGCAGACGATCATATCTGGCAGTGGCACACAATGTTTCTTTACGCAGACTATCCTGTCATCACTGAAACCTTCCGAGAAATGCATCAGCTGAGAGCTGGTGACACGGCACCCAACTGTTTATAAAACATTACAGCTGAACAATATAGCTCAAGCCCCTCCAACTACTTATTCTAAAACATGTTAATATTTTTGTCCCAAATCTCACCAACTGTGAGATTTTGAGTATTTTATTTCTTTATTTTATTTTGGCATCTCACCACCAAATACTTTCATGCTGTTAGGGAATGACTGGTTTAAAGTATAGTGTATTGTGTGAACCCAGCCATAGTGTGAATGTCATGAACTGGGAGGCCTTCTTATGGCATTATGGAATGACCCAATATGTTCAGGCAATGGTCATTCACAATGGTCAGACACTATTACAATATGATATATGATATATATGATATATGATATATAATTCAACCATTGTCAGGAGTCCAGTATGGTATAATAGCAAGTTCAAATATATTTGTTCCCATCTTATAGCTCACCATTCATCTATTAGAATCAAGTACCTATGGAGATATAATCCTAGATTCAGACAGAGTGGCAACTCTTGTCCACTCACCTTGGCTGAGGGGCTGGTCTGAGACCCACATCAGATCACTCCTAGCTAAGAGGAAGCCCATGGGAATGCTCCAGCCTGAAGTCCACCTAGCTCCATTATGGCAACTTCGGACTCCTTTGAGCCTTTGGAGATCCAGCATCCCACGCTTGGCCACAGCCACTGCAAATACACAGCTACCTAAGACAGAGAAAGTTAGAGTGGAAAAAACATTCACCTCTGGAGAACAAAACTGAATATTTTGCATCAAACATGGTACTCCTGATTGACAAGGAGCCTAATCCAAAAGCATTTTGAAACATTGTGTTCTGTAGTATTTTATTTTCTTACTTTAAATTCAATCCGAAAGAAGTTATTTCAAGTCATGTGATACTGGAGATGTATCTCCAGCAGAATGACTAATGCCATGGCTTTTGTCCAATGAATTTTTTTGGAGAAAGTGTAAATAAAACAATAAATCTTGGCCTTACTGAAATAGTTCTTTACCTACAATGGATGGAAGGATCTAAATATACTGCTCCTCCTGTTAGCTTCAGAGGCCAAATGCTTTTAACACTCTTTCCTTATACAAGAGACTCTCTATCCCAGTTCTTGAAAATAAAGCACTGGTAGCACTCTGCTCAATTGCTTTTCTTTGCATTTACAGAGACTCAAAGTCGACCTTCAAGAAGGCCAGTCCAATGGAACCTCTCTGGACAAGGAGAGGACAAGTGAGACCACATGACAGTAGTCAGCTCATGGATTTGAGTGGCAGGAGATGAGGGAAGCCATTATTTAGATTTTTAGATTTTATTAAATTTATACCCCGCCCTTCTCCCGGAGGACTCAGGGCGGCTTACAGCCAGTTTAAAACAGTAATACAATACAAAATTTAAAAAGATTAAAAATAAATATTTAAATTTGGCCGCTTCTACTAAAAATTTAATTTAAAACCCCTTTAAAATACCCCTAGGCCAGTCCTGCCTGCTGAA